ATTGTCATTATTGAAACAAAATCTTATTTAATTTCCTATCTAGAAAAAAGTATTTTTAATGAAAAATTTCTAGACAACTTCATCCTAATTGTGCATATAGTTTAAATTAAAACTAGTAGTTTTAGGGAAGAACAAAAATGCAACTACACAGCCAAGAGAAAGATTCTATTGAAAAGACTTAAAAAGTCATATATTCCTTAACTTCAAGTTTCAGAACACAAGTATATTAAACTAGACTCCATTTTAGTAGTTAACTATATTAGGCCTTTAAATTATTGAAGAAAAACATCCAGAGGAGGCTTTAATTAGATTTTCTAAAAAAAGAAAAGAAAAGGCTATTTCAAGGTAAGTAGTTTTGTAGTTACTGGTTTATTTATTACATTGCAGAATTGAATCCAGTTTGTTTTCTAAATTCCTTTTTGGGCAGGCAAGTGATTCAGATTTATTTCAAATAGCAAAAAATAAACTTTAACAGCCAGCAGATATTTTCCAAAAAGTCCCCTATTTTTCTTCATATATATTTTTGTAATGTCAACTATCTTGTTCATTTTGGTATCGGTCTACGTAGTTAAAAATTACTTACTTTTTGAAGCTCAATTTCTTCTTTCAAAAGTTTTATTTTGTATACATCTCACTAAATTTTAGAAAGATGTTTCCACAGGTTAATTCTGAAAGGCTTTTCTTCATGTTTGTAGTTACTGTTCAACAATCCAATTCTAGAATCAATTCTATTACATGCAAGTTATCATTTTATTCTAAATTATGTTAAATATATTTCAAATATTTCATAAATAAAATACTAGTCTCCTATTTTAAAAAATCTTAACATTATTTTCCTTATCTCTAATATAGCACAAACTTGCAGAAAAAACTGATTGAGGATATTTTGAAGCTGTAGGATATCACCACAATTACAGTCAGTCGAAGTGTCTCCTTTCAAGGAAAAATCATGACTTAAAAATAATAACACATAACTACTTTTTCTTCTACCCTTTCTCTAATGCCCTCCAGTTTCAGTGGAATGAATAGAGCACTTTCTCTTCAAATCTTTGTATAATACCATTATGATATGTGGCTTTCAAACTTTTTATCTGAAGGCCACTTCTGTACATGCTCCTCTGATTTGGACAAAAAACAAAAACAAAACCCAAAACGGCAGCAGGAATAAAGAAGGGACTTACCCGTAATTCTGGAGGGTGCCAGCTGGGTTTAACCCACTATTGAAGGGAAGGAAGAGGCATCCCCTTCCCTCACAGACTAATCTAGTGGCTCTGTGCTTAGTATTATAGCACCACTGACTTTTATCAGCTGCCAAACAGTGACATCTGATGTGCTTGTCTGTCCATCTACCTATGCTGGCATGTCAAAGTAAGAGTCCACAATCTAAACAATATCTCAGATGTCTTAGTGGTATTTAAGGAGTGGGATTACATGAGCTTTTCTCTCAGGCCTCTTTATTTTAGATGTGAATGTTGACTATGATCTTTAGCAAGCTCATGTAGGGAGAAGAGCAATGAATTTGGGAATATAAAAAAGTATAAAGAAAACTCAATTTCTTTTTCATGGTGAGGGCTTTGTGAATCTTCCCTGTTGAAGAAAGAAGGACTAAATCCCCTCTTCATAGATTTTAAGACTGATGTTCTATCTTGTAAGGCTTCTCTAGAAATAAGGCCAGTGATGGATGGGCTCCAAATTAATTTGTATTTGATAGTTGTTTATCTGAAGACTTTTTAAAAAAATTCCAAATGGGAGTGGGGGTGGAGCTGGGTTCAAGCAGTTTGTTTTAAGAAAGGGGGTGTGGTCTCAGTAAAGGCAGCAGAGCAGGTGATTGTGACATGTCATTGGGAAGGTGGATTGGTGGAAAACCTAATATGTTTTCTTTTGCAAGCTTTCTGAATCTGTATGGTGTATGCCTCCTTGATCTTGTCCTTTTATACTAAAAGTTTGAAACACTTAAACTATCAAAGAAGCAGTCTGTACATTAGGGCTCTGTACTATCAACTCTCTTTCCTTCATCTTCTTTACTGCTAATAGTTTCCTTTCTCTTTACACCAAGGAGACCATCTTGGTATTTATGTTTCCTTTTTGTGCAGGGAAGTAAATAATTATAGAGGAAGAAACCTTCAAATCAACAAAAGAGGTGGTGGAGAGGATTAGGTGGCATGAGGATCAGTCCAATGGAGTGGAATTATCCCCCTTTAAGTTGCTTCAATTTTGATATGGTTCTACTGTTTAAAGCATATCTATTTATTCCCTCCCTTATGGATACTCCAAACTTGATTTAATTAACATGTACATTGGGGTCCAATAAATAGATGTTTGAGCACATGTGAGTCATATGAAATTCTTCACAGCTGACCATGTAGGTATTACCTTCCTTTTGTGTTCAGAAAAAGTTTAATAATTGCTGCCTGGGCATGCAGACATTATTCAGTAGAAAAAGCACACTAGACTTGAGTAGGTGTTTGCCTACAAAGTCTTATTTCAGGAATTTCCCAACTATTTTTCCATATCTGCTCACTGATATTTCAAATTCCATTTAAAGGGAAAAGCCTTTTCATCCAAATTAGAAAGACTTAAAATGCAACTGCAAGTGACAACAAGAATAATAAAAATAACCAACATGTATAGATTTTTCTATGAGTAAGACATTATTCTAAGGACTAAGTGTGGTATATGTGACTGATACTTGGTTTTTCCTGAAAACAAGGTTTGACTGGGGCAAGGAAGAGGAGATAGTAGATTTGAGGTCTGTTAGTACCTAAAAGTTTGAGAAATACTCTAACGGCCAATAAGGAAGATGCCTAGGACAAGCAGTTAAATTGTCAATTCTACTAGTAAATGTACCATAGTTGAGGCAGAATTTTACATTCATTTGCTCTCTTTTTTTTTTTGAGAGGTAAAAAAAAAAATTATTTGCGTTAAACAGAGGATATGCCTAGGAGCAAGATCTCAATAGACTGAGAAAAATGCTTCCTAGTTCCATTTTTTTATCTTTTAAGAATTGCCTCTTCTTTTCCCTGGGTCTTCGTAAGGTGTAACATGGGTTACAGTGTAGTACTTCTATGGTACATCTAGGCTAAGGTTCTCACTACAATAAGGGCCCCAAGGGTTAAATTGGGAAAGGTAAGTAAGGTCCTCTTTTTTTTTTTTTTTTTTTTGTTAATCTTCACCCGAGGATATTTTTCCATTGATTTTTAGAGAGAGTGGATGGGGGTGGGGGAGTCACACAGAAAGAAACATCGATGTGAGAGAGACACATCAATTGGACGGGGGATTGAGCCCACAACCAAGGTATGTGCCTTTGACTGGAATCAAACCCGGGACCCATCAGTCCTTGGGCCTAAATTCTATCAACTGAGCCAAACCGGCTAGGGCAAGGTCCTCTGTTATGACACCATTCTCAGAAGTTGAAGGTCTGTATTTAATAATCTATTATGAATCTGGTTTTCTACTTTTAATGTTTGGTTTGTTTTTTTGAATGTTTTATATCGTCTCACAAATATAGCTATTTGAATGGTTTAGTTGCTTATTTGAGAAAAATCATAAAATGGAAAAATCACTAAGATGTCAGGTGGGTGAACCATATTGCAATCTTCCCCCAAAGACAACTTTTCCCATTTCTTTCTCTAAATTACCAGTAAATCATTCTAATGTCTCACACAATGTATGTAAGTAACTTCCTGTTATTTCCTGCTGCATGTTAAGGGAGTTCCTTAACATCAGTTCCTTATCATCAGTAGAAGGGTAGCTGTTTAACTGTCATTCATTCATCTCTTCCTCATATATAGCTCTTGGTGTTTTTTTGTTTGTTTTGTTTTTAATGAGAAGTATAAATGCTGTTGTAAAAATGCTTCTGTGAGCTTCTTCTAAAGTCAGAGGTCAGGTGTGTGTGATGAAGCTAATTTCTGTTGTATTAACTGAGAAGGAAAATGTCACATTGAAGATGAAGGGACTAAAGAGTGAAGAACATTTTACTTACTAGTATTTTCAGGTTATACATAATTCACTCTGATTACTGAAGTTCTGCATAGACATATAGTGAAAGGGAATCCCACTGTAGCACTTGTAATTTGAAATATCCATCCTAACACCTTACTCAATCTTATATTCTTCTCATAAGAAATAATAATGGACACTCCACTCAAACAGGAAAAGTGATAATGTTCTACAATTTTCTAGGCATATTAACCTTTTGTATTTTGAAGACCTGAATCTATTTTAATGCCCACTCTACCACCTACTTACTGTGTAACCTTAGACAAGCTGCTTAAACTCTCTGAGCTTTAATTATTAACTGGAAAACAAAGATAATATCTGCTATACTAACCTAAATCAGAGGTTTCTGAGAGACTCAAATGAAATAGGAAATCATACAGTGGACTATATTGTGGTATATCTCCTACATTATGTTAACCTTTTTCCTGTTAACTTAATGTAGGAGGGACTTCATTATTTATTTATCTTGCCTAGGACAGTGTAGCTCAGAATAGACCCTATAAAAACTTAACTTATACCCAATAATTTTTCCCACAGACGATGTTGTTAATGATAAAGATGGTATATTATATCCTGTGAAAGATAATATATTATAAATTCAAGGTCTTTTAAGACCTAAAGGCTCACAGCTAAAAACAGGTACTCATGTAGAAAAATTTTAGATATCAGTATTGGCTATCTTCCCAAGGCAAGTCTAGCACAGAAACTGATAAACACATAGAACGTGTTTAATGAATGTTTGTTGAATAAATTGCAGTTTTATTTATTGCCCTACACACCTATTCTTACTTGACCCCATGAGACATCTTTATTTATAGGGGTAACTACTGATCAGGCAACTAGAGATCCTAGAAGCTTAAAGGGGTTCCAGGAGACCAACAGAAATCACAGTCATAAACTTATTGGAGATATACTGAACCTGATAAAAAGCAATGCAGGGAAGTGATAGCTACTATTTATTGAATTCCTACTATGTTCTTCACATATATTGTTCCAGGTCTGTTGGTATCTAAGTCTAAACTCTTTTCCTCACTGTCTTCATTGCAAGAAACACTTGGAAAAGTACCTATCCAAGGTCATGGAAGCATGAAGAACCATCCTTTAACAATGTGAGCCAACCATTTATAATCTAGTCATTTGCAGAATGAGGAACTTCATTTAGATGACCTCTGATTCCTTCTGTCTCTAACATGATATATTTCTTTCACTTCATAGACTCAAATATTACGCAAGAAATCTCGTCATAAAAGAGATTCCAATATCTTTTTATTTTATAATTTACAGACTGTATTTAGTAGTACTAGGTAAGTACTTAAGAATGCTGTTTAAGTTTTATTAAAGATATTTAACCTAAATTTATGTAAAGTTAACTATGCTGGTAAAATACTTAGTAGGCTATGTTAGGTATTGTTAAAAGAAAAAAATTTTCAAATGACTTTTTAAGTATCAATTTTTAGGGGTTTTTTTTTTTGTTTGTTAATCCTCCCCTGAGGATATTTTTTTCATTGGTTTTTAGAAAAAGAGAGAGAAGGAGAGAGAGAGAAGAAGAGAGAGAGAAACTTTGATGTGAGAGAGACACATCAATTGGTTGCCTCCTGTATATGCTCCAACTGGGGCTGGGATTGAACCTGCAACCCAGGTAAGTTGATCAGGAATTGAACCTGTGACCCTTTGGTGTATGGGCCAACGCTCTAACCACTGAGAGACACTGGCCAGGGCTTAGGGCTTTTTTTGGGTTTGTTTTTAAATATATTTTTATTGATTTCTGAGAGGAAGTGAGGAGAGAGAGAAACATCAATGATGAGAGAGAATCATTGATCATCTGCTTCCTGCACACCCCCTACTGGGGAGTGAGCCTTGATCTTTTGTTTCATAGGTTGATGCTCAACCACTGAACCATGCCAACTAGGCCTTAGGTTGTTTTTTAATCAATAGTTTGTTTGAGGGGTGGGGATGGAAGTAGATGGTGTTGTTTTAAACATAGCCTGACTGGCAAATTCACTTACTGAATTTTCTTTCCATTTATACATTTGTTCTCTCAATACAGTATAGACAATTCTGTCTGTATTCTGAGACTGACCATGAAGAAACCTGTGTACCTATTTATATTGAGATAGGACACTGAATTCTGTTTTGGAAAAAGATTCTACTTCTTCAAAATCTCATGCCATTTGAGCATTGTTGATTTTTTTCATTAAGTCTCTGTAACAAACCCTTAAATATGAATCTAAGCACATGACTTACTGTTGCATCCATGGTGATGGAGGGCAAGAGAGAAATGACAGTTACAATGATTCATCCTAGTGGAAACTTGGTCACTAACTGCATGATGTTGCAGAAGTGAGGGGAACCAGGTTTGCTAAAGTAATTGTGGTGATAGAAATGTATTAGCCTCAGAAGCTACTGAGGTGGTCCATTCTATCCTAGTCAGTGTAAAATAAGATAAAATAAAATAATAAAATAAAATAAAATAAAATAAAAAATTAAAATAAAATAAAAAGTGATTCATCTTGGCATGCAAGCTACCCGAGGGCAGGAGCTTTATAATATTTACTGTTCTATCTATAGAACCAAGAACATATGTTGTATGAGTGAATGTTAGGTCTCTCTGGCCTTACCATTGTGGTGGCAGCTCAGAGGAATTTTCATTTATGGTGCAGAAATTCTCCTTTGGAGCCTGGATCTCATATTCAGTGGGACTGGCTGCTTCGGAAGTAGTTGGCATATGGCTTATTAGGGTATTGTCTGGATTTTTGTTCTTTTTGTAGCTGTCACTGCTCCAAGGAAAGGAGGCCAGTTTTGGAGAAAATTTTCTGATCAGTAACTTTGGAGAACTCTCTTTTCCTTCTGAAAAACATAGTTAGTCACCAGTTCAGATAGAAGCAGAGAAACTTCCTCTTGGCTCAGGGTTGAATAGAATCAGGGAGATCCTGAAGAATAAATACCTGGGGAAACAATGAGTCTTGCTGTGGAGACTGCAGTCCCAGCCTCATTTTCTGCAATGCACTTGAATTCCCCAGAGTCTTCAGGAAATACTTCTGTGATAATCAAGGTGCAGACTTCCTCTGAAAAGGGAAGAGATTCAACATGACCAGAATATTTGGGTGCCTCTAATTAACAAACAAAAGTGATTCATTCTAGGGGAAATTCAACCACTAACTGAATAATGTGGGAAAATGTCAGGGAGAGTAAGTACTAGGAGTAGAATATTCCTGAGACAATCCATCTGATTAGATTTTTGTCTTTGAGTGGGCTCATGAAGAGAAATCTTAAAAATATAACCCAAATTAGTACTAGCTCAGCCCCCATCACCTGCCTTTTAGTCATATCTGTTTTCTCTACTAGATTGTATATTCCTTGAAGCAGAGATTACACTTTATTTCTTCTAGATTGCTGTAGCTTTACTGCTTAGCATAAAAGTTTTGTATAGAAAGATTTTCTGAACTGACCGAAAAATTATCATTGCCATGGTAGTTAGATTTAATGTTAGTACAGTGATGGCCACTATGTGATAGGCACATTTCCTTCTTGGACAGTCAACAATTTGGATGGTTGATGTCAGAACACCTCCTTACTGCCTCATGAGTCACAAATACTATATCAACTGGAATTAGAAGAATGCATGCTCTATGAGGTCAGACACAATGGCCAAGAATGGAACCTGGCCATAGTCTCCACTCAGGAAATATATGTTGAGTGGATGAATAGATGAATAAATACACTTAAAGAGTCTAGTTATCTTGTTTCTTCTGTGTGTCAGTTCAAGAGTTGGCACAGGGTAGCCTGAAAACTGCTCATGAATGGCAAAAGTAATTTAGGACACAACGTATTCTTAGATACTAATTTTGGCTTAGGCATTTATTATCAAGATATTGGAAATTTGTACTTACCAGGAATGGGTGATAAACAAGCTTCTGAAAGATAAAACAAGAGAATAGAGAGAGAATTTAAATGGTAACAATTAATTTAGTTGGGAAAAGGGGCCATGTGTATATGAGAAATAACTTGAGGTTGAAATCTGGAATCAGAGACTATAAATTCTAGAGAAACTCATAAAAAGTGCATAAAGGAACAGACACTTTGCAGGGTGCTGGAAGAACTGTATTTTATCTTGTTCTGCCACAAAATTGCTCTGTGACTGTGTGAAAATTACTTTACTTCTTTGGACCTTTGTTCTTTATTTCTAACATGAAGGTAAGACCAGGTAATATCTCTTCACTGAATGTGAACCATTGCTGAAACACTAATCTGAGGTGCTCTCTTTTCCCCAAGAAAACCCTTTTCTTTTAATATCTTTAAAATAAAGTTAAACACATTATAAAAATACTGTAGTAGTATTGTAGAAAAATACAATAAAAGTTAATAGTTTTCTCTGGGTGGTGAGAAAATGGGTTATTTAAAGTGTCTTTTTTATGTTATAGTTTTTCTACATTTATTATAATAAATTTGTGCCCTGGCTGGTGTGACTCAGCTGGTTGAGCATTGTCTTGTGCACCAAGAGGTTGCAGGTTCAATTTCCGGTCACATGCCTGGGTTCCTGGCTTGGTCCTCAGTAGGGAACATGTAGGAAGCAGCCGATTCAAAAAAGTACAATAAATGTTATTTTAAAAAGAAATATCATGCTCTTGCCAGTGTGGCTCAGTTGGAGGAGCATTGTCCCATATACCAAAAGGTTGAGGGTTCGATTCCTGGTCAGGACACATACCTAAGTTGTGGGTTTGATCCCCGGCACCAGTGGGGACATGTGCAGGAGGCAATGAATCAATATTTTTCTTTTTTTTCTCTCTCTCTTCCCCTGTCTTTAAAAATCAATGAAAATGTCCTCGGGTGAGGATTAAAAAAAAAAAAAGAAATATCGTATTAGTCATACAGATGTTTCTTAAATGTGATGTGGAAATGTTCAGTTGTTTTGACTTACCATTTTAAGTGAATATGTTTTCTTCCTTTGTTTCCAGAACTATCTTGACTTAAACCCTGGCTGCAGCATTTACTAGCTTTGTGACCTTGGACAAGGTGTTTAACATTTCTGATGTTAGTTTCTTTTTTTAACTTATAAAGTGGCGGTAACAGCACATACCTCAAAATGTTGTGAAGATTAAATGAGAAATTGTTTATAAAGTACAAACTTAGTGTTTAGCTTGAGTGATATTGTCATGTTTTTTACCCTTCCCTAAGTTAATTACTCTATAAAACACTTACATAATAAAGTGTTTAGAAAGTTATCTATCAGTTTTCACTTGTCTTAACTCTTTTAAAAAATATGTTTATTCTCACATTTTTTTTCTTGTATGCCAAGAACTCATTGGGAAGATAGCTAAGATTAATTTATAAAAATCAGTCCTTTCATAGCTATTAAAATTATAGTTTCATCAATTTGCTATCTTCCCCCCCCCCCTTCTTCTTTATATTAAAGCTGGGGACAGTGAAACAAGGAAGGGCCTAGGATAGAAGAAGCAACAGGAGAGAGATTAGATAGGGAAATGAGTTTAGGTTTGGCTGCTCTGGCTCACTAAGAAGTCAGAGAAAAGGGGGCATTGAAGATAGGTTCAGGGGGTGCCCCTTGCTTTCTGGTTGCAAGTCTCACGGAGTCCCTTACAGTTTAGGAGATGCATACCTATGGGGGCAGAAAAAGAGGAAGGGAGAGGCATAGGCATGCTCCTGGGAGTGAGAGCACGCCTTCTTTTTGGTTGTTTCTGTTGAGGAAACATTTGGATATAAAATAACAATTAACAATAGAAATCTCTGAGTCTATAACAAATCAGCTATTAAACTTTTAAAACATGAATTAGATTTCAAGGTTAATTGGAATAAAAAGAAAATTGAAAATTTTATCATGATACTTTTCCTCAGAATCCGAAAGTCATCTGAGTCTGCTATCTTCTCTTTCTCTCTGTACCAGTGAACTTGCACTGTGGCTGTGGCCTGGACTTGGCATTCAAACACAACAAATTGACCTCTGGTGGTAGAGATGTCTTGAAGATGCTGAAGAACACAGAATGGAAAAAACTTTTACCATATACAATGATTTGGGATATAAGTTACAGTAAGTGTGCATACTTTTTCATCATAATTATTGACAACTGACTAATCAAAACAAGGAGCTTCTGGGCATTCTTTTGCACTTTATAGTATGCTTTATAGTCAGGTATAAATTATTTTTATCTTAATTTTATAGAGTTGTGTTTAATAAGAAGGTTGTTATTCATGCCCCAAGAGCCATTTTTCAAAATAGAAACAGAGTAGTTGAAAAGTCTTTACTGCCCTGCCCAAGTAGCTCAGTTGGTTAGAGAGTTGTTTGATAAACCAAGGTTGGGATTCAATCCCTGGTCAGGGCACATACAAGAATCAGCCAATGAATGCATAAAACAAGTGGAACAACAAATCAATGTCTCTCTCTCTCTAAAAATAAATTTTAAAAAAGTGACAAAAAAAAAAAGAAAAGTCTTTACTTCATTGACCATTTTGTTGAGTACATATATAGTCACAGATTTAAACTTTATTATTGGTCAAGTAGCTTGGGCAGTATTGTAATTTGTTAAGAATTCTGTACCGTGACTTAGAGGACTTGAGCCAAAATCTCAACTCTGCCACTGTCTGGTTGAAGCTGATCCTAGAAACTTGGAAGACTCTTAATCTCTGTGGAACTCACGTTTTGTTTTGTTTTGTTTTGTTTTGTTCGTTAATCCTCACCTGAGGATATTTTTTCTGTGAATTTTTAGAGAGAGTGGAAGGGAGAGAGGGAGGTGTAGAGAGAGAGAAAGAGATGTTGATATGAGAGAGACATATCAATTGGTTGCCTCCCAGCCCCACTCCCACTGGGGCTGGAATTGAAATTGCAACCCAGGTATGTGCTTTTGACTGGGAATCAAACTCAAGATTTTTACATGTGAAATAGGACTAGAAAAATGTTCAGCCTACCTTCAGGTTTTGAGGTTCATTTCAGACAAATAATCTGAAAACTTTCTTTAAAGAATGAAGAGTTATATTACTATATTAAAAAGTGTTTATTGACGATAGCTAGTTTAGTCTCACAGTGCATACATGAATGTATGGCATTTGTGGTAAATTTCCATCTTAAATCCTCATTTCCCACATCTCCTATTTCCAGCTCCAGGGACCTCTAGAATCTAGAATTACATTTCAGATTATAAATTGGTCCTGAGACCAGAGAGGGAATGTCTGAAGTCCTCCTATTAGGTGAAACTTAGTTGAGACATAATGACCACCAGCCCAGCACTTGAGCCTGATGCCTAGGACTGCATATCATAGGGAAAGAATCCAGCAGAAAATGAGATGTGTGGAAATAATTGACACATGAGCCTGACAGTATCTGTTGAAAGCGAGCTTCCAGAATTGATAGAACTTCTTAGTCTTTTTTTAAAAAATATATCTTTATTGATTTCAGAGAGGAAGGAAAAGGGAAAGAGAGACAGAAACATCAATGATGAGAGAGAATCATTGATTGGCTGCCTCCTGCAGGCCCCCTACTGGGGATTGAGCCCACAACCCAGGCATGTGCCCTTGACCAGAATCAAACCCAGGGCCCTTCAGTCCACAGGTTGACGCTCTATCCACTGAGCCAAACCAGCTAGGGCAGAACTTCTTACTCCTTCTGACATTGTTTTCCATGTCTCCCATCCTGTATGTGGTACAGGTTAAGTCCCTACCATGCTTCTCATACTTTGGGCCAGCAATGGGCAGAAAAATGTTCCAGTTCTGTCAGGTTTGGAAATTGGAAGAGGATTGCAACCTTAGTTTGGTTTGACCTAGCTGATTAAATTTTGCTGTTTTCAGTAGGTGATAGAGGAGTCTTCTCAATCCTGATTTCTGACTGTGACCAAAGCAGGAAATAGATACTGCTTTGCGTATTGACTTCTTCATAAGGGTGTCTTATAGCTAGTTAGGAGAACCTGATAAACCTGGAGGAGAGAGGATTGCTTGGACACAGGATTGCCCTCCAGAGCTGGAGGATTGACAGAGCAAAAGCCTGAGAGCACAGGATAAACCATGAGTTGCTCTGTGACATTCTGGAACTCAGATTTCTCATATATAAAATAATAATAATCTCTGAGGTCCTTTCTAGTTCCCCTTTCCTCCTTTTCACTCCTTTGATAATGCCTACAATTTATCTATAAAATCCAAACTCTGTCATGCAGTATGGATAGGTTACCTTGGTAAACACTGGGGCCACAACACACGTGGGTTCTGAAAGGCTGCTGCAGGGACTCTGCATCTGGTTTAAGAAATAGAAGAGACACTATCATCCATATCGTCAAGGCCCTGAAACTGAGGCGCATGGTGGCCGTGAACTAATTGCATCAGTTTTAGCTGCTACTAACCACACCCTAAGATTACTTTTGGAAAGGATGCTTCTTCTTTTTTAAAAATATATTTTTGTTGATTTCAGAGAGGAAGAGAGAGGGAGAGATAGAAAACATTAATGATGAGAGAGAACCATTGATTGGCTGCTTTCTGCACTCCCCATACTAGGGATCAGTCCACAACCCAGGCTTGTGCCCTGACCGGGAATTGAACCTTGACCTCTGGTTAATAGGTTGAGACTCAACTACTGAGCCACATCAGAAAGGGAGGCTCATGCTTCTAATTTAGATGTCACCTTGGATGCCTGCTCCAATGCCACCTTTTTATCTCTCTCCTCCAGCATTCCATCAGATGAGATGGTGAAATAGAACACTGGGCAATTATATAGATGAGAAATGAGTATTGGCAATTATTTAGAGGCTGTATATTAAAAGTTTCTAAATTTTACTGACTAGATTTTTTCCCTCCCTCCATACAGTTGTCCTTGTTTAAGTTTTTGAAAAAGCATCTCCTCCCACCCCCATTTTTTAAAATAGGGAATTCATTCCTCAGATAGTTAGAATACTCTTTATGGTACTGAGCTCCTAGAAACCAACTGTCCCTTTTGGTCTGGCATGCAGACAAATGGCCAGACCACAGAACTACCATGGAGTTATTTCTGAGACCCATGGATTTCTTTTTTTCTTTTTAAATATATTTTATTGATTTTTTACAGAGAGGAAGGGAGAGCAATAGAGAGTTAGAAGCATCGAGGAGCGAGAAACATCAATCAGCCGCCTCCTACACACCCCCCACTGGGGATGTGCCCGCAGCCAAGGTACATGCACTATGCCGGAATCGAACCTGGGACCCTTCAGTCCGCAGGCCGACGCTCTATCCACTGAGCCAAACTGGTTAGGGCCCCATGGATTTCTTTATTGCTGTTTCTGAGATCATGCAGCTGGATGCTCTCCTCATGTCTACTACTTTTCAAGAAAGTTGCATTAATCCATGCAACTTCTCCTCTGGGCCCGAGTCTCCATTACCGGGACTCCTTGGAAGGCTTTTAAAACCGAACCTACCCTCTGGGGGTCAATACACAATGGGTGAACTAAGGTAGAATAACTTGATCTGATGTTGGAGGTTTCATTAATCTGGGAACTGATGGTCAGAGAAACTCTAGTGGTTTTCTTCTTTATCCTGTGGAAGAAACAAAACCAAACACAGTCCAGTGAAAGAAAGATGAGAGGTGGCTTTGATAGAAATGCCCAACTGTATACATTTGAATGTATATCATTTTTTGCCTATAATCCTTATTTTTCTTTTGCATAATAATCTTAGTTTTTTTTCTTTTTGACCAATTATTAGGGGATTATGTCTCCAAAAGTTTTTGCTTTAAACTTCCTTTTTCTTAATTCAATAGGGAGTGGGCTGTTACTAAACAATTTATGCACACGAAATAACGTATAACGCAAATAAAAATCTCAAAGTTTGATAATTTTTTGGGGTGTATTTTTTAATAAGCAGAATTCCCCCCTGTATTCATATGCAACAAATGCCCATTCGCATGCATCTTTTGTACTTACTCTGACATTTCTGCATATTCCGAACACCATCCCAGAGAGAAATGTTTTCTTACTTCCCTGGGTACCTACAAGAAAGAGGAAAAAATTCTGTCTAAATTTCACTGGAATTTAATAAAATCAACTGACTGTATTCACTCTAGGACCAGCAAGTTGGTTTGTTACAGACAGTAGGTTGATCCAGAACATCTGCATTCTTTACTAAGTTGGAACTACTTCAATATTTTCTGTTTAAAAAATCCAGATGTTTACCTTTACAGAACTATAGCACTTGCTCTCAGAAAAGATACTGAGTTATTTCCAAAAAACATCATTTCAGAGGGCATATATTAGTGTCTGTGAATTTGTGTTTTTGTCTGAAGTCTTCAGAATATTTGTTATAATAAGAAATCTAATAAAAACAAATTGCTGTGTCTATTATAAGGAAGGATGTTGTCAATGTTGGTATTATCTCTATGAGGACTTAGTAGAGAAATAGATCTCAGTTCTTAGTATCATGAATAATTGGGCTTCTCCTGTGCTGCTAGTTTAGTTTTTCCTCACAGATACTCTGAACCTTAATATTTGTATTTCTTTTTTTTTATTATTGCTTAAAGTATTACAAAGGGTATTACATATGTGTCCTTTTTTTCCCCCCACCCTTGACAATCCCCTAATATTGGTTGTATTTCTTGTTGTGTTACCTACTTGAAAGTTTAGAGCTCACTTTATAGCCAATAATTCAACAGAGTTTGGAGTCAGTATCTTCTACATTTATAACCTGATACTTAAAAACAACAACAACAACTATATCTGTGATGGTTTATTTACCCAATCCAACATTTAGATCACATGACTCCACAAAGGTGTGTATTGCTTTATGCTGTTTCCCTCAACCCCATCTCACAAATAAAAGCAATTGATACAGAAAGATTCCTCTTTTTCTAACCTTGGCAGTAAGTCCTCACACTACACTGGCCATCTTAGGTGAAGTTAAGCAATAACAGCATTGCAGACTAAGGGAAGATATGGGAAATCTTGTCTGACATCTTCAGACAACAAAACTAAAAGACAGAGAGGTTATATTTTTTGCTCAAGGTCATGCAATCTATTGGTAGAGTCAGAATTAGAATCCCAATCTCCTGTCT